AAATATCAATGATGTTATTGACAATAAAGTAAACACTGTTGTAACAAAATCCGGTACTGTTTCTCATACAAAGGACGTTCTCTATTCCAGCTTGTTTACCGACTCAAACAGTTCCACACCATCTGCTCAACCACCACTGCACATGTTCCAATTGCTCCAACACGTACACAACCTTCATCACCCGAGATTCTAATTCTGTCCCCGAAAGAAGAACAATCGGTAAATGCTGCAACAATGACGAATGTGAAAAAATTTGCTACTGATAAATTAAAGAGCAGTCAAGTAGTATTTCTCAGATGTAATGAAAACAACAAGAAAGTTTCAATTGGCTTCCCTAATGCTGAAATTCGTGATAAGGCTACTTCACTTCTCAATGATGGAAATACCTTAGATTCGTATGGATATCAGTCTAAGAATGGCAACAAAATGCTGCCAAAAGTTACTATTTATGGTGTTTCTTCTGAAGTTCTTGACGATATAGACACTACAGCTGTAGGGAATGATGCCGATAAACTTAGGGATCTTGAAAAGAACCACTTAGTCGCCCAAATTGTGGAGAAAAACTCGTCCATCAAAGATTTGTATGAAGCAGGGCACACTATCAGTATTGTCTATCTCAATAAGATAAAACGTTTCACCAACGATAAGCAGGAACGCATAGAGCTCACTATTGGAATCAAACTATCACCATCTGTCTATAGAGTCCTCTTTAACCAACAACAAGGATCTCTCTATTTAGGTAGTCGCAGATACAAAGTAACTGATCGCTTCTACATCAAACAGTGTTATCATTGTCAAATGATTGGACACACTTCTGTTGACTGTAATGAAGTCAAAACAAATAAACATCCTACCTGCATGTACTGTATGGGAAGTCACCGGTCTTCAGCATGCCAATTTAAGCAGAAGAAGGACAAACATGCCTGTGCTCGATGTTTGGCTTCAACACACACTAATGATGCCGAGAATTCAAGAACACATAATGCGGCAGCTTACGATTGTCCTGTGTTGGTAAGACTAAGAGAAACTAAACGTATTGCTGCTAACACTGACTTCATTTCAAAAAACGTAATGTGAAATTAGGTGCTAATCGACAGAAATCACAGCTTTCTATTGGTTGTTTCAACGCAAGGTCTCTATGCAACAAAACTTGTGGCGTACTAGAAATGCTTTTAAAGATAACTCGATTTCTATCTGTTGTATCACGGAAACTTGGCTAAAAACTAATGATCGGGCAAAGTTTGCCGAAATCCGTGATTTTGGGTTCGATATTATCAGTGCCCCTCGAAGAGGTAGGGGAGGTGGTGTTGGTTTTCTCTTCAACCCCAAAATGATATCGCCTGTACGCAATGATGTTACTAAATATTCATCTTTTGAAGTACTTGAATGTGTCATTAAAACTGCTGGTGAGATTATCAGGCTATGTGTAGTTTATCGCAGCACTCAGGCCAAAGCGAAATATGATGAAACAAAAATATCTAAGTTTATGGATGACTTTGATGGATACCTGGACAATCTTCTGCTTAAAACTGGATCTCCAATTATTTGTGGTGACTTTAATTTCCATGTTGAAGACATATACAATAATGCTGCCCAGAACTTTATTGCTCTTTGTGAGAGCAAAGGCTTCCTTCAGCATGTCGACTCTCCTACTCACATCTCCGGCGGGACACTGGACTTGTTATTTACTCTAGGCTGTGTAAGTGACTCATTGTCTGTAACAGATATGATGGTAGAGACAAGCACTGGAACCAGCTCTGATCACTATCTAGTAAGTTTTCAGGTCCCAGTTACATTCGATCTTCATAAAGCTCGTACATATGAAGAAAAAGATGTCAGAGAGCTAAGCAAAATTGACATCGATAAGTTCAGGGAAGATCTGTTTTGTTCAGAGCTTAACCTTTCTGAATATCAATCCTTAGACGAGGCTGTGAACCTTTATCAAAATGTCCTTGAACAGGTGCTAGACAAACATGCCCCACTTATTACGAAACGATTTACTGCTGAAAAGTCTGATTTTTGGGATAATAAATGTCAAATTGCTGTCAGAGAGAGGAGAAGGGCAAAACGAAAAGCCAAAAAGTATCCAGAGAATGATGAGTTTAAAACTACTCATTTTGAAAAATGGTGTTGACGCAGAAATCACTATCAATCGAGCTAGGGATGGCTACTATGATAAACAGCTCAGTTCTTGCAAAGGAGACTCGAAAGGGACCTATAAAGTCATAAATAAACTTTTAGATAAGGAATATGGCTCCAACAAATTGCCAAATGGTGAAGATACCGAAGTGGCTGCCAAACTCAAGACTTTCTTCGATCAAAAAGTAAAGACCATTTACTCTAATATTGAGAAGGAAATTCAAAACACTTCCCTAAACGGTCAAGGTACCAAGGACTCTACTTCGATAGATAATGCAAAGTGTAGACTTAATCAGTTTAAGGAAGTCTCATTATCAGACCTTGAAACCTTAATTAAGAGTCTTCCCAATAAATCAAGCGTACTCGATGTCATACCAATGTGGCTCTTCAAGAACTGCTTACCCGAGCTTCTCCCAATCATCCATTACATCGTGAATGAATCACTAAGAGTCGGAAAGTTTCCATCTGCCCTAAAAGAAGCATCTATTAGGCCTGGACTCAAGAAACCTACCTTAGATGTTGATGAGCTGAAAAACTATCGACCGATTAGCAATCTAACTTATCTGTCCAAAATACTAGAAAAAGTAGTTCATTGCCAATTAAATGAATATGCTGATGTCAACAACCTGTTTTCCCCATATCAATCAGGCTATAGAAAATTCCATAGTTGTGAAACTGCAGTTACCAAAATACATAATGATATTCTAATGATGATTGACAGCAAATCGAATGTTGTGCTTCTACTCTTAGATCTATCAGCTGCTTTCGACACCATAAACCATAACCTCCTTCTTACGAAACTCAAGAATGCGTATGGTATTACAGAACTAGCACTCAGCTGGTTACAATGTTACCTTAATAATCGCACATTCAAGGTTAAAGTAAAAAAAGCCACATCTTCTGAAGGCTATCTGGATATTGGTGTACCTCAAGGATCCATTTTAGGACCACTACTGTTCATATTGTATACCAGAGATCTTGAAGAAATTGTCACAAAATATGGTTTCTCGATACATTTGTATGCAGATGACACACAGGTGTACTTTACTTTTGATGTTCACAGTTCTAATCCTGATTTAACAGCTGTGAAAAATTGCTTTCTGGAGATAAAGCAATGGATGACAGTTAACTTCCTAAAACTGAATGATGAAAAAACAGAGTTCATTGATATAGGACCATATGTCAGCCCAATCCAGACAATGGATTTAGGAGACCTCTCAATCTGCCCTGTTAGCAAGGCCAAGAACCTGGGATTCCTTTTCGATCACCAAATGAATCTGGACTCTCAAATAAATGCTGTCTCCAGAGTATGTTATTTGAATCAAAGGGACTTAGCAAGAATCGGTTCGAAGCTTTCCCATGACCTAAAAGTTCAGTTAGTTCACTCCAATATCCTCTGTTTCATAGACTACTGCAACTCAGTCTATTATGGAATAACAGAAAAGAATCTTCATAAGCTACAAAAGATACAGAACAATGCTGCTAGATTTATCTTTGGTCTTTACGGAAAAAAGTTACGTGAACCTATCTTGCTTTACCTCAAAAAGCTCCACTTTCTGCCTGTTCGGTTCAGAATTAAGTTCAAAATATCACTTCTGGTCTTCAAGTGTCTTAATAACATAGCCCCTCAGTACTTACAAGGACACGTCAATCTAAGGGAAGTACGAAGACAAAGTTCCAGACTAGATGATGACTTTTATTTGTTGAAAGTTCCTCCTGCTCCTCATTTCAGACGAACAGATGCTGCATTTATGTTTTGTGGACCAAAAATTTGGAATGAACTACCCTACTCAGTGAGATCATTATCATCTGTAGAATGTTTTAAAAATGCCCTAAAGACGTTTTATTTCCAACTAGCTTTTGATAATATTTCTAATATTTGTCCATAATGTCTGAACTGATATGAAAGTGCATAATTTTGGTAACTTCATACAAATATTTGTTCATAAAATCTGAACTGTTTAAAAAGTCCATAATCTTGCTATTTCAACACTAAGTCTCGCTTGAATGACTTTAATGTACATCTTTGTTGGGTATATTTTAATGTCGAAGCGTGTAATAAATGTTAGAATTTATTATTTATTTTATTTATTTAATATAATAATTCTACCCAAGACTAAATTCAAAACATACAATATGCGTTGTTACCAATGGAATGTTAACATCAACGAATAATAAATAATGTCTGCATTTACTTGTATTCTTAAACTATCTGATCTTTTCCGTTTTGTTTTGTAGCTTGTTTGTGTGAAGAGATATATCGGACTATAATTTGTTTTAATCTGATAATAATTTATATATTATGTACTGTACTCGAATTTGTGTCATGACGTGTCAGATATTTTTGTTATACAATTTGTCTGTCGTTTCGAATTTGATTATTAGGGCTAAACTAAGAAATAAATTTAAAGGTTAATTCCGCATTTTTTTATTCAAGTAATTGCAAATACGATTGTTTGTTTTTTGGTTAATATTTTGTTTTAAATTCGTAGTAATTTATAATTTGATTTCGTTATAATACTACTTTTGATTTTGAAACTGGGTAATTCCATGACTATTTTGAAGTTTCAACTTTAATAACCAATCACTAAATAAAATCCTTTTAACATCTTTTTAATTTGATTATCGACACATTCAGAATTATATTGCAAGACTATGTTGCACCTTGAGCACTTCTCTGCGGAAAAGGGCATTTGTATATCTGTATATTATGTTTCGGATAATTTAAAACAAGATAGAGTGTATCCTATTTCGTTTGCTGAATTTAGGACCCATAGCACGAGGCACAATTTACTGACATAATGTTATGATATTACGAAAAAGCCAAAAGGATGTAATTTTACATTTTATACATTGTTCAGATCACGTGAAAACTGTTATCACAAAATTTTGGTAATTAAGCTTGGTACAACTAGCACAAGTCCATTTTACATTAAAACTCTTCACATTGAAAACTAATAAAAGGTGATGAGAAAAAAACATCTATGTTTCAGAATTATACAGAACTCTTGTTAAAGATCCTTAAAAATGGGATCGATTATGCTTGAATTATTGTTAACTGTTATAATGTGCATGAACGATTACTTTTGTCTGTAAATTTTATTTTATTTCCTTAACTGGTGTATGTACTGATTTTTATAAACAGATTAATAATTTTATACGTTTAAGTTCATGGGTTTCTGCAATTTAAATGATGTGTGTATAAGCGTTGTATTTTGTTTTTTAGTCTTTTTGTAAACTAGCTTTGAAGTCTTACTCAAATTCGATGGAAATTTTGATGACCTTACGATATTTGTAAAATGTAAAACCATAGACTTAATAGGCAATCTTTAAAATCCTATTTTAAAGATTATTAAGTTTCACTATTGACTAAACTTAAAACTACCATCCTTCTAGATATGCCAATGACACGTGATGACACGTGATGATCGATAAAGAGAGCTCTGCAATAGTAAATTGCAGAGTTAAAGAACAAACGAGGAACGAATCACTAGATGGTATAACCCTGGACTCTTACTCTCAGAGTCTCAACTGTTGGATCAAACTCCCGGAGTCCAGCGAGCTAAATGTTGGACTTGCTCGGAGACACCACACTGCTGTCGCTTGGAAGGACTCCATCTACATATTCGGTGGATGTTTCTCCAATGACAGCATCAGTGAGCTGCCAGGAAATGGGAACGGTTTGAATGACATGATAAGTTTCAACATAACAGAGAGGGTCTGGAAAATAGTGCAACCTCAAACCAGACCACCAGCTCCTAGATACAATCACACTGCAGTGGTCTACGAGAACTCTATGATGATATTCGGAGGTTTCAGTCAGACCAACAAGAATGATGTTCACCAGTTCCGGTTTGATCGCCAGGTCTGGACCCCTTGGGTACACATCTCAGGAACCCAGCCCAACCCACGGTCAGCTAACTGTGCTTTTGTGTATGATGCTCACATGTGGATATTTGGTGGCTATGATGGTCGGAACAAGCTGAATGACATGTGGATGTTACCACTGGATGATGATAATCCAACATGGAAGAAAGTAGAACAACATGGTCAGATCCACCCTCCAGTTCTCCACGCAGTCTGTGCTGTTATTGACGATAAGCTTTACACATTCTCAGGGTTGTGTGGTGCTTCAACCTCTAACGACATCCTCTCTTTCAACCTAACAACAAAGACATGGTCCATAGTCCTGCCTGATCTGATTAACAATTGTTGTGCCGCACCTGATAGGAGACGCGGACACACCATGGTATCTCACGGCAAGTGTCTTTACATCTTCGGGGGCCAGAACAACACTTCAAGATCCCCGAACGATCTGTTTTGTTTCGAACCGGAAGCCTCTGCCTGGCACATAGTTAAATCCAGGAACAAAGCCAGTAAACATGTCCCAAGTAACAGGTCTTACCATGCCGCCACCATCATCGACAACATCATGTTCATCTCGGGGGGAGTCACTTTCAAAAAAGATCAAAGTGACAGGGGCTCCGACAATTTCTACTGCTTTATCTTTGCCTCCTTCCCAAAATCTACCTTAAGAGAGGACCTATCTGGATTGCTGGATAACAAGATGTTATGTGATCTGGAGTTTGTGGTAGGAGAGGAACCTGAAAAGGAGTCCCTCTTTGCACACATATCTATAGTTGCTGCTCGGTCTCCGATACTGAGGATGAAAATAATGGACCAGTTAAACCAGTTATGCGATGCTAAAAACCACAAGAACCGTGATCACATACTGACAGTTCTAGATCTGGACAATGGAGAGAGGGTAGTGCTGCCTTTTCCTAAAGTTTCATCTGCAGCTTTTAAAATAGTCCTGACTTTCATTTACACGGACAGAATCCCCCACTCTGTTAGAGAGGATGATAACAGTATTGTTACTCTGACTGATGTCTATGGAATTGCAAACTATTTCCAACTGTCTCGTCTGGAGAAGATCTGCATAACCTACATACAAAGTTACATCAGCATTGAAAATGCACTTTCAGCCCTCAAAGTTGCTAAGGATAGAAATCTTACTGAACTTGTCGGAGTGCTGGAAAACTTCATCATAAGAGATCAGAACTTCAAAGCCATCATAACTCGAGAAGAGTTCGAACTGCTGGAAAAATCAAGCATTATAGAGCTCATCCGACTGAAAACCAACATAACAACAGCAATCCGATCACCTCACATTTCCAGTGACGCAGGACAACAGTCCTTGGAAGAGGACCTACAGGCCCTGATGGGAGATCAGCAGCTGAGTGACATCACCCTTACCATAGACGGGATCGCTAGGAGAGCTCACCGTGCTATTCTCCTTGCTAGATGTACTTACTTCAGGGGTATGTACCGGTCCTTACCCCCACCACAGGACACAGTGGGTATCAAGATAGGTGAACTGGAACCCACTCCAGCTGCTTTTAACTCCCTTATGAACTATATTTACTATAATGATACCGAAATACCTCCGGAGGATTCTTTGTACCTTTTTACTGCTGATAAATTCTACGGATTCTCCAACAACCAGCTGCAAGCGTACTGCAAGAAGAGTCTGGAAACGAACATTAAAACTTCAAATGTTATTGAAATTTTGAAAGCAGCTGATCAGGTAAATAGCGAGGATATGAAGTGCCACGCCCTGAAAATGATTGCGGAGCATTTCACATTGGTGCAACCTTTACCAGCCTTCAGAACAATTAAACACTCTTTGTTGCTGGAGGTTACAGACTATGTTGCTACTCATATGAAGGGGAACAGAGTCATAACTCCTCATAACACCCCTAAAAACACCAAATCCTGAAGTTGCGATATAAGGACCTTAGAGCCTTAGGACCGGAGATGTCTTTATTATTTGTTGTGTTGATAATGGTATTTTGTTCTTTTCTCAGTATGTGTTCTGTTTCTCTGTTTAAATACTTAATGATGTAATATAGTCTCATACGCCTAAAAGGCAAATCAGTTTGGTAGTTGCTGAGCTTTCAAAAATTAAAAAATTTAAGGAGTTCAAAAGACGTAAAAATAGCTACCTTTTTCTTTGTCGTTAACTGCCAATAATTGGACTTTCATACATACATACAGCAAATTGTTGTAAATTAAATAACTTTTTACATAAAATTTCAATTCATGACAAGATTTCTTCCTGATTATATTTTAATAAGCCGCTGGAATGAAATGAAACTAACACATTAATGTTTTAACCGAATTCTACTCATTTTGATTGATGTAAAATGTTCTTTTATTTTAAAAGCCGTTGAAATAGTTAACGAATTTTATTTCTTCAATAAATGTATTATTATATAATCTGAAGCTCGGATGTTTTGAAATCTTGATTTGCTTAGATTCCAACCATAAAGTAAAATATTATTAACATAATTTTTCAATCTTCATGCGTAAGAGATCAAAAATTAATACTCGTTATTGGGTATCACCATATTATTATGAATGAATAAATTTTCATTAAATTGATAAAGACATCCACTAAAAACTTTACCATCAGGCGTTAAAGAATATGAATTTAACTCCTCGTTTCTTCCTCAGAAAAAGGTTGGAATTTTCAGTTAAACTGAAATTTGAATGCTCCGAGTTGTGGGAAATTTTCTGTGAAAATAATGTGATCAAATATAATGTACGTACATGCTAACAGGTGAGCGGTTTATATTTCATGCTAACATCCGTGACAATCGGTTTGAATTTCAGATGCTGTACACTACACACCCTCACATCTAGTGTCTCCCTGTTCCGTGGTTCATCACGTGTTGTATCACGTGGTATGTCTACAATAGATCACTACAGAACACTTGGAGTCAACAAGGACGCAACGGCTGAGGAAATCAAAGCTAAATATATCAAACTTTCTAAGGTACTGTGATATATTTTTACTGAAATAATGATTCAAGATGATAATACTTGAGGGATTACCCATTACCCATTACCCAAGAAACCAGTCCGTACACCAGTCCGCCATATTCGATATTCAGGCAATTCATTATTCCTATAACCGAGAAAACTTTTTATACCTAACGAGTAATTGTCACCAGGAATACCATCCAGATAGGAACAAAGATAAGAATGCGTCAGAGAAGTTCGCAGAGATATCTAATGCTTATAAAACCCTCACAAATCTCACGTTTGTGGTCTTGTTTTTTACATGTTATTATAATGTTATTACCTTTGTCACCATTAATTGGTGTTTATCAGCTTAGCTGGGCTTACTTTTGTGACGTTCGTTTAGCTAAGTTAAACCTCTTTTACCGATTTAAAGTAATTTTCGTTCTAATTATGTCAAATGTCGTAGGAAGCGGATAGAGTATGACGAACATTTTGATCTCTCTAAAAATCCTTATAAAGACACTCCTGAGTTTTATACAGGCGGTAAGAAAATTTGGATTATCTAACCTTTAGTTTATCATGAATCGAAATTTCAAAGTACCTAGTGCATTGTATTTATCTGAATTATGTTGGATATATGTTAATGCTTGTAAAAACATTAATTGTAGTTATATTATGTTTGCATTTGTGACTTATGGCGGTATGATCACTTCACTTTTCAGTCAATCCTAATTACCGGCCCGGAAGAACCAGACTAGATTGGTACAAACAAAACCATGACGACGACTACCTGATAGAGAAAGCACAGGAAGCACAGAGCGCCACCTTTGAAGATCAATTCAGAGCTTTGCGCAAGAAATTAGCGTTAATAACTGTTGTTAAATTAGGTGGTTTAGGGTGTATAATCGGGGTGTACTGTTATACTGATAACCTGTGGATTCTTGGACTAGCTGTTGTTTATCTTTCCATGTTGAGATGACCATTGATGATCAGAGCCATTCACGGTCCTCATTTTGTGATGATAGAAGTTAATTAAATCTTATTAAAACAGTTTCTGGAGTATTTGCCTCCATCGAGGTCTACTGTGTCAAATGTAAAATACTGATAATATTCAATTTAAGTTGAACTTTTCTACTACTTCTTTTACTGCACTAAAAAACATTATCAAACTACACATAAATTTTCAAACTAACGAAATAAAGATTATTGGTGATTCTCATAATATTTAACTTCTTAACACATAACCGTGAACACCCATAATCCATATAGGTCGATGAGTCGGTATCTGGGGTCTGGGTATTTTCTAATCGGTGTCCGATAAGTGTATGCATTTTGCACTGGGACACCTCAAGTGGATACAACGTACTTGTATTATATCCGTGCTCTCCAGAAGTTCACATTACGATGTTCTGGGTGTGTCCAGGGCTGCTACTCACGAGCAGATAAAGAACAGATACTACGAGCTTAGCAAGGTTGGGTTTCCTAATTAGCAATTAACCTAATTGTCTAATTATCTTGATGATATTATCATGATTATGTTAAGTTACCATCATGTTCGTCCAGTGTTTTGTTGGTCAATATATTACAAGCTAAAAGCTGGCTCCCCCTAGAAATATCACCCGGATTTAAATGACTCTGAGGAGGGTGCAGACAAGTTCAGGGAGCTAGCAGAGGCTTACGAGGTCCTGGGAAATGTTGATGAGAGACGTACTTACGATAAATTGCAAAAGTAAGTTGTTACCTTTGCTTCTGGTATTCAGCTGTTCAGTTTAACGCAATGTGTTTGAAAGAACCCCCACAAATGCTCAATGTATCACCAAAGATTGCTTGTTTTAGCTTCAAAATCAACAACAGTGTATCAACCCTTCTATTCCCAGTCAACCAGGAAAAGGCAACAGGGCAGGTACAGTGACAGTAAGTGAAGATTACAGCCAGCACCTGAGAGATAGGTTCAAATACACCCAAAGAAGTTCAAATTCCGGGTATCGACCTAAATACCGCAAGGCTGCAGCTGGAAGCTCTAGTTCTCGAACGTCTAGCATGAGCACACGAACTGGAACTGGTTTCTATGAACAGAGGGCTAAGGTACATAATATGATGGCAGAATTTATAGCTTATTTTCTCGCTCAATGATTTACCGTGTTACTTATGTATTGTGTATGATAACTAAAGGCTGCTTTTCTTTCTTTAATAGATCTCACTGACTCCGCCCTAAATGTTGAATATTACTAACAATTGAACACTATCCGCAGCATTACACACAACAGCATATCAGTGCAAGAATGAGCGTACAAACATCGGAACCTAACATTGTTCTCGTTCTCGTTGTAGCGTTGTTCATGTTGACGTTCTGTGTTATAAACAAACGCTGATGCTAACTTTTCTGAATTGATAGTTCCGAATTTTAAGACTCCTGTCCAGCCAAGCTATGACTATCTAGATTCCTGACTACCATCAGAGGTGTTAAAACTGTTCCAAACCACTAACCAGTGTTCCAAGCTTGTTTCGTAATGTGGGTCATGTGCCAGTGTGCCAAACTCACCATAGAAGGGAACATATGGAAGGCGCGGCGTCATCGAATTCAACGGTGCGCACGCGAGTTCTTTGTTTTGATCGGATCACGCGAGCTAGCTAGCTAGCGATCGCGTCGAACGATCGATCGACCGTACCCGATCGACATCATAAAATCGAGTGAATTAAGATCTCGATGATCGATATAATCTGATATGATCAATCGATCAAGCTAAACTAGTTGGTAGTGACACAACTAATGAAAATGAATATGTAGGAGATCTCATATCGGTGACCCAGTGAGATCGCGATTTTAGCATCATGAGTATATTTATTGTTTTATGAAATTAGGTTATACTTGAGTTTTCTAAATTATATCGATTGCAGAATTTGTATTTATAAGCATTTGGTTTCTCTACTTGTTCTACTCAATTGTTCTGCTCTGTTTTTTATACCCTCAGTCTTGAGGTATCGATTCATCAATGATCACTAAAGTCATAGGTTTTAGCAATGAATTTAAAATCTACCTGTAGGATGTTAAAAGGAAGAATATGTACTAGAGTATACGGACCTACCATAATAAGGAGGACTGTGTTCGGTACGCAATACTGCTCTTTTCGTTTTATTGAAATGAAACCATGTTAGGATTTCGATTGTTCTGAATTTTGTATGCATTACAATTTAGATTAAAGATGCTAATTCTGGCATTGTATATTTAACATATCCATACAACATGAGTTTTATCACTCTATTATCTAGGTGGAACTCAGACTAAAGATCCTTATAAACTATTGGGAGTGAATAGGAATGCGAGTGATGCTGAAATAAAAGAAGCTTATCTCAAGAAAGTTAAGGTGGGCGGATTCTTCTGATAACTCCTCAAGTCTGATATAAATTTCATTCTGGTGAATCTTGAAACATATGACCTAAATTATTCGATTTTGTATTAATCACAATTAATTAAGGAGTTGTTTTGTGCTCTATATTCGACCCGTTTCTTCTTTGTCAGTGCCTTAAGTTAAAATGAGTGTAACATAAAGTTTTCCAGTTGTTACACCCAGACTTGAATCCTGGCCCAAAAGCAGCAATGCAGTTTATGGAGGTGAAACAAGCTTACGATTTGATCGGTAAATCTGATAAAAGAAAGATCCACAGAACTGCCGAGAGTGTGTGAGTAGAAATTGTCACTTTTCTGGGTGTTTAGTAGAACAATACAGCCTATTAGCCGTATTTTTGCCACGAAAAGGTCCTATAGATCTCTTATCTGTAACTAAAACCTTGACCCAATATATGGACGATGAAGAGAAAATCTTTCATCAGGGGTAAAAATACGGGATTTGACGACGCCATGAAAAGGGCTATGGGAAATCAGAAAGACTGGATGTCAGACTTCGAGAACGCTCAGAAGACGACCGAAGATCGTTTCAACCGTAGAAAACAGCAAAGACAGCAGTTCGAGCAGCCTGATTTTGAGATGGGAAAGAAAGCCAACATGAGCGCCTTTGAGGTAAATATATATTATATATAGTTGTACTTCTACACAGTAATATAATAAGCGGTGTTGATTAGATCCTCGATATTCTATATTATGTATATCTTTATTGATTAATATTGAGAGAGCATCTCCCAAGTACCATTCCATTGTATTTCTAAGTCTAACAAGGATTGTCGCCACCCTTTACCCGCACAAGTTTGGTAAATTTAAGCACGTTTCACTCAATTTAAGGTAATAGTCTGGCTAGCTGGAGAACATGCGTGCAGCCAGTATAATACATTAGTAATAGTATAGGTAGCGCAGTTGGTTAGAGCACCAGCTTTGCAATCGTAAGGCTGCGAGCGTCGTCGACGTTCTGCTAAGCCCTAAGGATCCCATAGGATCTATGCAGCCTCCCGGTTCACTCAGCCGAATGCTCGAGAAATCGTGTGTGAGGGTTAAATGGGGAGCTGTGCAATAGTACAGCGAAAAAGCAAAAACTCAATGGATGGTTAGTGGTTACCTTAATGGGTGCCACATGCCTAGCATGAAATATTTACCTACTTACTTGCACTTGTGTAGGTCTGTAGAAGCATTAGAATCGGGCGTTGCCTGCCACAGGCTATCCCGAATTTAGAAGCTTGCTTTAATAAATAGTATAGTACATACAGTATGAATAATAGAAAAACATAATTTTTGGGCTGAGATATTCGTGGAGACAATCGCGATATGTCGCGGCAACCGTGAAAAATCGTGATTCGAATAGAAAACGCGTTTACGGAAGGTTACGTCTACGGTAAAGGTTCACGGACACTCTCTTTCTTATTTTGTGCCAAAATTTCGAGTCAAAGTAATAAATCATTTCTTTTTCAATAATGTGCTGATCTAAGTAAGGGTTTTTCTTTTTTTAAATTGGCACAGTAGATACAAAGTTTGATAAAAGTTTGACTTTTATAGACTTGACTACTGATGGGATTTAACATAAAATTTCCAACGGCAGGCTTCCTGGGAAACAAAGCTAGCTAAAATCTGTAATCTTGCGAAACATTTCTGTTCTTGCCTTGCAATCGATACAATATTTTATAAGATTACATGACCTCGCACTATTTTCTGATATCTTGATCTCTATGAATACAATAATCTATTGTGTGGCACCGAACTAAATGAATGGCATGTAAGGTAGCTGGGGACCAAGGGTATTGTGTAATTCTCTCAAATTAGCGTATAAAAGGTCAAACCCTAGAAGCAACACTCGTCCTCAGTCATCGTCAGTTCTCTCAAGGAACCCAGCTCGTACTTCAATACACTTGAATAGAGGGGTAAATGAGGGATATTCCATCTTGGGGTGTCTTCTTGCTGCTTCTTCTGTCGCTCTTTCCATTTCAAGTCCCGGGCACTGGTCCTCAGGGGAAAAAGTTTGCAGTTGATTTTGCGAAGTATGACGGACAGCATCCCTATTTACCCAGAGACACAGAGATAATAACAAAATGCTTCCAATATTCTCGATTGCTGCTTCCTGAATATTATGATAAACCGGCCAAAGAAATAGGGAATAGTTCCACAATATGTCGGTTCAATTTCGACCCTTACCAAGGCCAAGGAAGGATTGACCCCACAGATTATGTCGATGAGATAGTCCGGATTGCAAGTGATGAAGATGCAGTATGGACCTGTTCTCTGCCTGATAAGAACCTCTGTGATGGTGTGTCCCAGTGTCTCACTGATGAGTGTGGCTGCAAAAATAACTTGACTGAAGTTTTCTACTGCTTTGACGGCTCAGGCTGCATCTCGTTCGACGATCTATGTGATGGTACCCAGGACTGCATTGATGGGTCTGATGAGTGTTACTGTGAAGATTCTGTGAAGATATCTTGCCCGCTAATCAGCAGCACTCCCAATTGTTTGCCTGCTGTATCGTGCCTGGGTAGCCTGTCAACTAATTTGAATTGTACTATTCCAGATAAGAGTGACGCTGATAAATGTGAGGAGGCTTTTCGGGAGACTGATAAAATTTCTCCCTTGTACTCGTGTCTTGATAGACAATACCAACATAACCACCAGTCATTTACGTTATCAATGCGTGAGGATCCAATAAGTTTCGTGTCATCTTATTGCAAATATAACTGCGCTAACGAGACAGACTTCGTGGTGGAAAATTGGGTACAATTTTGTGATCATATATTTAGTGATTTATGGTCAGAGAGCGACTTCGTTTTCAACTGTGAGAAAGATCCGTTTAGATCTGGAACAGAGTCTTTCCACGTGACAGCATTGTGTGATGAAAAGCAAGACTGTAAAAATGGGGCAGATGAAATTGGATGTCCGGGCAGGTTCTATTGCAGCCCAAACTCAACAGCAGAGTGGGTTGATCCTGACAAAGTATGTGATCATGTGAAGGATTGTGCTGACGGTAGTGATGAATGTGGGACATGTGACTTGGGAAGTTTGTCCTCCTCAAAGTTCCTTATTCGATCCATACCGGTTCTAGTAGTCACAATTTTCATGGGGCTCTTCATAGTCATCATCAACTCTGTAGAGGGATACAAATGCTATCGCTCCCAAAAGGATTCAAAGACCGGTCAAATTGACAGAATTTTCCGTCTCCAAATATTCTTCTACGATCTGCTGATGGGATTATATCTGTGCTGTATCGTTATAGCCGCTACAGTGCTCCGATTCAAAGGCGACTACTGCTTGTTGGAGAGAAAGTGGCGAGCCAGTATATCGTGCTCTAGTCTTGGTGTGCTCTTCTCTGTATCTTCTCATGGCTCCTTGTTGACTGTCGCATCTGTTAGTGTGATCAGATGGCTGAATTGCACCAGTATGGTTTGGGAAATGAAAACAAGGATGGTTGTCTTAGGATCCGCTTTAGGTCTTCTCCTAAATGTAGCTCATGCTGTTCTTCCGCTCCTATCCATTTCTGCCGTACAGGATATTTTTAGGACGGAAATATTCTTCACTCATCTTGATGAAAATCCATTTTTTAGCAAGAATCCTATCGACCTACCTAGACTTACAAAAATGTACGAGGGTGCATTTGCTACGGAAAGTAACACAAACGCCATGCTGGAAAAGCTCCGAAACACGACTTCAAAGGGAAGCATATTCGATAGTGAGGAGATAGGCTACTACGGCAACACCGGATTATGTGTCCACAACATCTTCAAACTTCAGGAATCTTATCAGATCTACAAACTTCTATACTGCACGACTCTGGCAGTACTGTTGGTCACAGTACTTGTAACATACACCAATATATTGCTGGAAGATAGAAAGAGTAAAGCACGTGTTGCGGCTCTACGAGAAGCAGAAAAGGCGAACATTACACAATCTCTAACAGTAAAAGTAGCTCTTATGATCGGAAGTCAACTCATAGCCTGGATACCCTTCATCATAGCAACAGTCTATTACCAGCTCATTTCCAAACAATCAGTACCACCTTCAGTTTTTGAGGTGTTCGCTCTGGTGGTCATCCCAGGCAACAGTTTTCTGAATCCCTTATTTTATAGCGACCTATACAAAAAGGCTGTTGGTTACCTATTGGCAGGTAGGAGATGGTCGGTGAACATGATCGCGATGTTCACTGACACCTGGAGACTGCCACCTGGAGACGAGGTCAGGAACATTCAGACTTGGAAGTGTGGACCTGGAGACGAGGTCAGGAACATGGAGACTGTGCAGTGTGCACCTGGAGACGAGGTCGGGAACATGGAGACTGTGCAGTGTGAACCTGGAGAAGAGGTCAGGAACATGGAGACTGTGCAGTGTGAACCTGGAGACGAGGTCGGGAACATGGAGACTGTGCAGTGTGAACCTGGAGACGAGGTCAGGAACATGGAGACTGTGCAGTGTGAACCTGGTGACGAGGTCAGGAACATGGAGACTGTGCAGTGTGCACCTGGAGACGAGGTCGGGAACATGGAGACTGTGCAGTGTGAACCTGGAGACGAGGTCGGGAACATGGAGACTGTACAGTGTGAACCTGGTGACGAGGTCAGGAACATGGAGACTGTGCAGTGTGCACCTGGAGACTAGGTCAGGAACATAGAGACTGTGCAGTGTAAAACTGGAGACGAGGTCAGGAACATGGAGACTGTGCAGTGTGCACCTGGTGACGAGGTGAGGAACATGGAGACTGTGTAGTGTGCACCTGGAGACGAGGTGAGGAATATGGAGACTGTGCAGTGTGAACCTGGAAACGGGGTCAGGAACATGGAGACTGTGCAGTGTGAACCTAGAGACAATGTCAGGAACATGGAGACTGTGCAGTGTGAACCTGATGCATATTTGAAGTTATAACTAATAATAAGACGTACTTATCGCTGTGATGACAAGTATTTTTGCCGATGCAGTTTGCAAATAGTTTGTTAGTATGTATATTGTTATTTGCTTTTTGGATTAAGTTACAAATTCCAGCGTCTTCTATGTGTAGTGATAATACTTGATTACAACAGATGTGTACTATACGATCTACATAATTACTACATGCAAACAACCAAGTAATGGCCAATGGGAATAACAACATAATAATAGGTATCTTGTTTGAGCGGTACATAACCCTAGAGTGTAAAGAACTGTTTCCAGATAAGTCTGCCCGACAGAGGGAGCAGAAAAATGTCACATCTTGCGTGGAAGCGTGAAGCAGGAAATAAATTGTGATCGGCCAGGTAGCGCAGTTGGTTAGAACGCCTGTCTTACAATCGTTAGGTTGCGAGTTCGAAACCCACTGACTGCCTGGTCGTCGACGTTCAGCTAAGGATCATGAGTGGTCTATGCAGCCCCCCGGTCTACTCAGCCGAATACTCGAGAAATCGGGTGTGAGGGTTAAATGAGGAGCTGCACATTGCAGCAAAGTCTCGGACGAAGAAAGTATGGTACACACTACCTTAACCGTCACTGGCCAAAAAGATCCTTCGGCTTCCTGTAATTGGCTGGTTGCACTTGTGTAACATTGTGGCTGTTGGAATACACCGAAGTAAAATAAGTGTCTAGATAAAAAAATCAATAAATTGTAATCTCGAGGTCTGGATATAAGATTAACTTGAAACTTTCCAGATAGCTATATGGTTATGATATGGATAATCTGTGGAAGTTTGGGCGAATTTTTATATCACTTCAAACACAAAAAATTATCTCCAAATGAGTGGTTTGCGGTGTTACAACGCATACATCTCGAGATCTGAATATACTTTTCATTGAAACGTTCCAGATAGTTATATTTATCATGGTATGCTGTTTGCTATACGGGTCTATAATTTTATAATAGTACGTGCATATAAATAGCTAGTACGTATTATAGTAAGGGGAAAAGTGGTCGATTTAAGGGTTCCATTGGATTTGAATGTTCACAAGGATTTCTCAACGGAATATGGTAGTTAAGACCCCTACGAACATAATTAGACTTGTTGCCAATTTTGTATCTCAACAGAAACACCACTTTTACCACTTTTTACCACCTTTGTACCACCTGTCTGGTTTGCCAAATATCTTTAGTTGTGAACGTCGTAAAAGGCTGCAAATTAACCTAGAATGTTTATCTTATCAAGGAGTAAAACTTTTGTGTGAAAAATTTTTACATTGGACAATCAGCTAATTGTATAATTACCAATTAGTTAATCACCAAAAAATTTGAAAATTTTTTATTGGCTCAAAATGATTGAAATCGTTTGAAACACGGAGAAATGTAGTTTTTAGAAAAACTTCAAAAATTTTTCACTTAAAAATTTTTTTCGAGACTTAGAAAAAAGTTTGAAAATTTAAAAATATTTTTATTCCGCCAAAAGTGATCGAATTGCATGAAACGTGGATAAAAATGCTTTGCAGAAAAACTTCGAAGATTTTGAGATTGGGGAATACTAAAATCATCAATATTTGAAGTTGGAGTTCAGTAAATCTCGACATATTTTAGTAATTAGGAATAGCTTAGCGGAAAGGGCCGAACCTGAAAAAGGTTAACCACACAATATTAGAGTTTCATAACTAATTACAATACAGCTTTTATTCCACAAATTCCACATAAAGAAACAGCACAAAAGGACCATTTAAGATCGAACCGATTTTACCTGCTGTACTATCATTTTATTGATTTCAATGATCAAAACCTCTGTACCGTCAATCTTGCCAATCTATACCGGGTATCTGAATGTACCGGACCTCTTATTTACCTCTATAATTAGACCCAGTTGTGCAAGAAATGCGATTTCTCACAGGGGTTTCTTTTAACTGTGCACTTTTTGTCACTCTCGCAACTCGCAAGAGGCCCGGTATTATAGGGGGGTATAGGAAGCGAGTGTAAATATACCTTCCATCATCCACTGTGCCCCCACTGTGGCTTTTTTGTATTGTGAATGCGCATGCCGCTTCGTTTGCTATGCCAGATACCTCGAATAACCCCCATATGTCATTGCCAGGGTCGGGATAGAGCTGGAGATAGCATTGAAAAGTTGCTAGAAATAGCTAGATTTAGAGTAAACTGGTGGTAGCTGGGTGGTGCTAGCATGGATGTAGCAGAACGTAGCTACACGGGGTTTCATTGGAGTTGGTTATTTTAATGGCCAAAGAGTGCCGGAACTAAAGTTACTTAAGATTGCAGTTGAGGGGCAGTGTAAACCACGGTGTAGTCAGGGACACAGAGCTACAGTGCAGGAGTACTGCAAGTGCAATAGAACAGTGCAAGTGATACAGTCTGCAACAGTAAAACGCCGACGAAGCTAGACTTAGAGTGAACTGATGGAAGCTGGGTGGTGCTAAAATGGAGGTAGCAGAACGTACTACATGATGAAAACAGGAAAACTAAGGCTGGTTGAGACCTAAAAAGATGTGAATCTGTCCTGATAGATCCAGTGAAGAGCGAGTAGCGAAGAGTTTGATCACTAACCTAAAGCTCTAAAGAAGAAGAGGGCTAAAGAGACTCACTTTGATCAATCAATCTAAAAAGGGTGGGTCAGTCTCTCTGTTTTCATCAGATTCTGATGAAAGGCTGTTAAGCTCAGGACGGTGATCTTAATAGGTCGGATAGCTGTACCTGGTTGCTTCCAGCCCACCCTTGTCGCTTGAAAATAAGTTCTCACCCCACCTCTTCCAAAAATGCAGTGACCAGAGCAGGAAACTCTTCTTCCTACTCTTCTTTCAACCCAAACAAAATCAGGTTCCAGCTCCTCTCCTCCTCTGCAGCCACAATCTTATCTCCTTCTTCGGCGTTTTACTGTTGCATACTGTATCACTTGCACTGTTCTTTTGCACTTGCAGTACTCCTGCACTGTAGCTCTGTGTCCCTGACTACACCGTGGTTTACACTGCCCCTCAACTGCAATCTTAAGTAACTTTAGTTCCGGCACTCTTTGGCCATTAAAATAACCAACTCCAATGAAACCCCGTGTAGCTACGTTCTGCTACATCCATGCTAGCACCACCCAGCTACCACCAGTTTACTCTAAATCTAGCTATTTCTAGCAACTTTTCAATGCTATCTCCAGCTCTATCCCGACCCTGGCAATGACATATGGGGGTTATTCGAGGTATCTGGCATAGCAAACGAAGCGGCATGCGCATTCACAATACAAAAAAGCCACAGTGGGGGCACAGTGGATGATGGAAGGTATATTTACACTCGCTTCCTATACCCCCCTATAATACCGGGCCTCTTGCGAGTTGCGAGAGTGACAAAAAGTGCACAGTTAAAAGAAACCCCTGTGAGAAATCGCATTTCTTGCACAACTGGGTCTAATTATAGAGGTAAATAAGAGGTCCGGTACATTCAGATACCCGGTATAGATTGGCAAGATTGACGGTACAGAGGTTTTGATCATTGAAATCAATAAAATGATAGTACAGCAGGTAAAATCGGTTCGATCTTAAATGGTCCTTTTGTGCTGTTTCTTTATGTGGAATTTGATAAAGCTGTATTGTAATTAGTTATGAAACTCTAATATTGTGTGGTTAACCTTTTTCAGGTTCAGCCCTTTCCGCTAAGCTATTCCTAATTACTAAAATATGTCGAGATTTACTGAACTCCAACTTCAAATATTGATGATTTTAGTATTCCCCTATCTCAAAATCTTCGAAGTTTTTCTGCAAAGCATTTTTATCCACGTTTCATGCAATTCGATCACTTTTGGCGGAAAAAAATATTTTTAAATTTTCAAACTTTTTTCAAAGTCTCGAAAAAAATTTTTAAGTGAAAAATTTTTGAAGTTTTTCTAAAAACTACATTTCTCCGTGTTTCAAACGATTTCAATCATTTTGAGCCAATAAAAAATTTTCACTTTTTTTGGTGATTAACTAATTGGTAATTATCCAATTAGCTGATTGTCCAATGTAAAAATTTTTCACACAAAAGTTTTACTCCTTGATAAGATAAACATTCTAGGTTAATTTGCAGCCTTTTACGACGTTCACAACTAAAGATATTTGGCAAACCAGACAGGTGGTACAAAGGTGGTAAAAAGTGGTAAAAGTGGTGTTTCTGTTGAGATACAAAATTGGCAACAAGTCTAATTATGTTCGTAGGGGTCTTAACTACCATATTCCGTTGAGAAATCCTTGTGAACATTCAAATCCAACGGAATGCCACTTTTCCCCTTACTATTACTTGTATAGTACTGTATTATATATCCGAATCCGTCCGGTCCCGGGCGTTAACTACATGCGCGCGCGTCACGTCATGTCACCTTAACTGTTTACATAGCGCATTCTACACCAAAATATTTATTCATGCGCCTCTCGCTTTCTTAGAAGGAAGACCCTTTTTGTAGTTGAATGGTGTGACCGATTAGCCAAGATCTCATTAAGGACATTGGAGCGAGTAAACTACAGTTGAACTTCATTCCCGGACCAGTTTATATCTGTGAAATCGTATAAAGTCAAATTTTGTCCCATAAATGAATTACTTTCGAATACGGCCAAGAATGAGACTTGACTCGTTCAGTTAGGAGTCACTCCAGGGTCATGTCTGTGGATTAAATATTTACTGTAAAATAAAAGAGCAAATGACCAATTTTTATTTAGGAGTGGGAGAAAGAACATTACGAGAAGCTGTCCCGGAAGCCAGTGGATCGGTACGGAATGCCAAAGCGTTTCAAAGATATGACTCCAGAAGAAATGAATAGTAAAAAGAAACATGTAGTTTTTTTCTTTGGGGTTACTTTTACGTTACTTTTATTGAGTTTCATGGACATTTAATGGCTTCTCCACTGTCGCCCGCGTTCAGAGCGACATATCTAAACTTCTATTGCTCCTTTTTAGGAGGGGATATTCATGGTACGCTAGCCTCTGTTACTCACCTATATATTTGTTACTCTGAATTGGTGTGCAGAAACGAGGTACTCATTATTGTTACGGTCGAGTTGTTTATATTGAAGAAGAGTTTTGTTTATGTTCAGTTCGAAATTAAATTAATGAATTATAATTTTATAACAAAACAGGCGTTCATATTTCCTCTCGAATATTTAAAACTACAGTATATTTAGTAATCATTCAATTTTAGCGTAGTTAACACAAACAAAAATTGGGGTTTAAAAATGTATTACACTAATCTAGTGCAAGTTTATCCTGGACAAGTCAAGACGCTTAAAAATCAGCGTTAAGGGCAATTCTAATCAAAGATATCACTGATGACTGAGCTTGAGGTACGTTATTGGGAATCTTTGCACCGATAGAAAGGATTCTCAAGAGTTATATCTCTATCGGATCGCTAGTACTGGTCCTCATCTAGAGTATTACTGGAAGAACATGAATCAGCCTACACATTACTACATTACCCAATCTCATCGCTAATTGGACGTGTTGCAATTTCTCGTCCACTTTATTTCTCACATGCAATTTAATCATCTGGTCACTGTCATGTGGCAGCTGTACCTTCAATTACTCCCAATATTCGTAAAATCTGCTAGTTTCTGGAATAATCTACTAGGAAATTCTCTATCAAATTTCTACAAAGTCCAAATAGAAAAAGTTCACTTTGATTATCATGACGTATGAAAGTCTGTTGTTCACGTTTGTCGTCCCCTACTGATTCTGTAACATTTCCTCTAGCTCTGCCTCGAAATCTCCTGCGTCAAGCTTTCCATCAACATCCTCTACCATATCGAAATCCTGGCGAGAGGTATAACTATTAGGTAGCCATCGGATTCACTTCCAAGTTTGCGGAGATATTCTAAATAATATCTTACTAAAGATAATAATATCTTACTAAAAGTGGAGTACACCTTGATATATATATACTGGTATGTATAATATATCTTCAACATTATATTAAGATGGTAAACCTGGAGTTCCCGAGCAAGTTCAGCCTCCCACTCCTCATCTGCCGCTGTAGCAGTCTCCGTCTCTTTATCTCCATCTTTCTGTAGCCCCAAATGTTTCAACTCATCTTCGTTAAGTACAAGCTCCTCTGAAGACAGAGCGTTATTTGGTTAGTTTTTCTGAACGAATCAACAGATTGATAGGAAGTCTTGAGGTGCTAAGTATCAGTAACTAAACTACTATCCATATGGTATAATATATTCAATATCCATATGGTATATCCGAGACAAGTTAAAGCGATAAAGGCACCTTCGGCAGCATCCTCATAGTTACTGAGATGGTCGCTGATAAACTCATCATCCTGTGGAGAAAAGGAGTAGTCTGGTTCGTCTGGGCCGGGCGAGGGAAGTGCTACTTCTGGTGCTGCTTCTGGTGTCGGGCTTTCTGAGGGTACATATCCAGGTTAAAACAAGGACAATAAAGTCACCACTCTTTGCCTTCTAGATCCAAATTTTTGACAGGGTCTTACCCTCGGGGATGTAATCGTGTCGGACGAGTAGTCTTGTTCACAATTTCTTTATTGTTTACGCAGATATTTATATGAATATGACTATAAAATAATGGAATATGATAATCATGTACCTGACAACAAGCCTGCTCAAATAACCTTTATATACACAGCTCAGGTACATACTAAACTGGTATTTGTCACCATATCTCGACTCGGAACCACGCTTTTTTCAACCGTACCCGTTTGACGACTCACATCTTACTTACTTTGGTTACTTTGGTTGTGTTTAAATCCTCGTAGCAGGAAGGGTCACCAGATTTCTGACCACCTCGATGGCGAGTAGTCTACCAGGGAATTAGACCAGCTGCAGCTATAACCGGAAGTCGGAGGGTTGTCCGGTATCAAAGCAATAAACTTGGACAAACTAACTTTAAACGACTCAAACGTAGCTTCAGCTTTAATATTATCAGGCACTTTGTTGGGTATGTTCCACAGAATTTCTTAGAACATTAACTTATGGAACATAGATTTGCTATGCTGGGATCTCAGCTTCTGATTGAGATACAGAGCTCAGTTGCATACCAATGTGAGCAAGATACATGTTTATATTAAAGCAATGAACATACTTATTACTTAGGGCCTAAGAGGCTAAGTTTTTGAGGATTCGTTTAAAAACTCTATAATAAAATTTTTCATATGAGTAACAAAATACCAACTACGTAGTAGCAAATTGATTGAATTGAGTGGTCATGAAGTGGTCTGCAGTAAACAACACCACTAGATGATTTGAGTAAGAACAGCTAATCTTTCATTTAATTTGAAGTGATGTTCCCATCTTCGTTTAATTCTTGAAAAATTGTTCAAAAACTGCAAATCTTTTCCGCAGAACTGCTAATGATATAAGGATAGTTTTTCTAATGGCATAAATGTATAATGGCCTTTGTTTTAATCCTTGGTTTATGGGGAGTTAGCAACAGGGATGTTGCCACAACAAAGCAGGAACGCTCTGCTTGCAACTCTTATGAATAAAATATTTGTATGTCATTGGTGCTTCGACTCCTTTCTTTGTGTTTCATTAATTAATTTATTAATTCTATTTTATTTTTAAACTATGACCTGTTTTATCCAAAAACCCAGCTCTCACAAATCCGTGGCGTTGATATAACCGAGAATAATGATATAAGGATAGTTTTTCTAATGGCATACATGCATAATGGCCTTTGTTTTAATCCTTGGTTTATGGGGAAATGGGGAGTTAGCAACAGGTATTTTGCCACAACAAAGCAGGAACGCTCTGCTTGCAACTCTTATGAATAAAATATTTGTATGTCATTGGTGCTTCAACTCCTTTCTTTGTGTTTCATTAATTAATTTTATTAATTCTATTTAATTTTAAACACTATGACCTGTTTAATCGTTCAAAGCGTACGTGGTGGTCAAATCATTTATTAGGTTTCAAACGTGTTTTGCTTTGTAACATTGCACAATATTCTACTCTATTCTATGTATCTGATATTTTAGACAGACTTGAATAGCATGTAGGTGAAACCTTTGTAAACTTTGTAAAGTGGTGGTTTAGGTGTAGAATTAACAATCTAGATTTAATATAATTGTAGTCATATAAGAACAACTTACTATCAAGAGATGCGAGCTGAGAACTGTGCTTGATAAGACTGACACGATAGAAGTAGTTTCTCCAAAACTTGTCTTCTTTAATCCTGCAGAGGTCAGAGTACTTACTTTTTCATTTCGATCGAAATCAATGTAAGATCTAAGCTTTAATCTCTGGTTAATTAAGTATTTTGAATTTCTTCAATGAGAAAACTGAAAAGGCTGCAGTGCAGACTGTATAACTATGTTTGCTTCTACTTACACTTTAGGAACGAGTTTAAATCTGAGGTCGTTGAGTTTAGGATCGGTTTCCAACATTGCGGTTGCTACGGGCATATTGCTCTCAAAATCAAACACAAAGTCTACACCCGCTGGAGGGTCCCTCAAAACATTTCGTTCGTCCTGTTACAAAGATCTGATATTATTGTTTAGCTAAACAGCTGAATATACTAGCGGAGTGTTGACTTACCAGTGCAGTGGAAGTGAAGGTGGTAACATTTGATTAACCAGTGAAAGTGAAGGTGGTAACATTTGATTAACCAGTGGAAGTGAAGGTGGTAACATTTGATTAACCAGTGGAAGTGAAGGTGGTTAAATTTGACTAGAACCAGTGAAAGTGAAATTGACTAACCAGTGAAAGTGAAAGTATTTGTTTCTTCATCTTTTCCTCCTCGTTATAACCAACCCATGGTGGAACAGCCGCACCTAAACAGTGTTAAAACTGAATGAGTCATAATGTTTTTAACTACCTGTGCACTGTATACAAGGCACTAGCTAACTGTTTGTATCGAGCAGTCTTCACTCTTTATTAACTTTAAATTTAACATGTATAATCTGTATGTACTCTTTTAGGTGCCGATCGCGTTCCCTTTTCTTCTTTTCGATAATAAGCTGAGACCCAATGTATAGCAAACACACATTGTATTGAGTGTACATTCAACATAGAATGATGGTTGACGGTGTACATTATATCACCAGTGATAAAGGATGTAACTAGCGCATTATCTTCTGTAACTCTCCTTTGGTGCACTTAAATGTAAAGTGGCGTGCAGAATCTTCAAAATTTGAGGAGCGTGGGTCATAAGTATTTTTGAGAGTCCCGACGAAAATGGCCAAATTCTCATACTCGAAAATTGATTTTGAGTATTTATTGGACCACATTACACTGATACGGTGAATCATATTTGTTTTTGACACGTGACAGAGATTATAGGTTCTGATTGGTCAAAAATACGGTTCACCTCCCAACAACCAGTATATGATATATAGTATCCAGTATATATAGTATCCAGTATATATAGTATCCAGTATTTATAGTATCCAGTATATATATTATATATAGTATATATAGTATATATAGTATCCAGATCTAGTATTAAGCTTCAAATTAAAATAAACTGGAGTCGTGTAACTTACCTTGACGACGTTGTTGCATTTTGACAAACTGGTTCTGCTCTTCATCAAACTCTGATAACATCTGGAGGAATACTTGTTATTATAAGGAGGGCCAGCCAAGGAGTGTATTTAACAGAAAACCTAGTACAACGCTAACTATTTATCATATCAAGGATTATCTTCGTCGGTTACAATGACCAAAATTCAAGCAAAAAGAATAACTAACGACATTTTGAAACTACAACTGACGAAAATAATCCCCAATTGTAGTTCATTCCCTTACACAATACACATGCTTTATTGAACTAAAATTCTTAATTAAGCGCAGCAATGCTTAGCCATACTCCTTAACTGGAATATCTTGGATACCAATATCTATCAGGAGTTCATCGGTATACTGAAAGTTATAATAATATGGATATTTTATAGTGATGCAGATCAACAAGTTGATCAACTCGACTCCTAGATCAGTAGTTCATATTATGTTAGTTCTTTGTATCATTATTATTGTATAATATTATATATTTATTTACATAATTTAATGATCTTTGAAGATCATTCGACGCATCTTTGATGATACAATCTTATGAATGTGCATGTTCATTTGCTGGTCCGGTAATGAATTGGTTCCGAGGTTTGAGTTTCAACGTTAGGTCTGTTTACTGTTTAACCGTTAATTGAAGTTGTATGATCTGTGTTATAAATACTTTGCATTCTCTTGCAATTAGGTATGTAATGTATAACAATATTTTAGGATGTCTTGATTTCATTTTAGGATGTCTTGATTCTTGATTTCTTTTAGGGGTTTTGAATATTTTAATGGTGTAAACAGTTTCTTAATATAATAATGATTGTATAACAATAGGTCGGCAGATCTTTCGCAACTTTCGGCGCACTTTTTATTGTGGTTTTTATCGGTGTGTCAATATGCATTATGCAATTACAATAAATTGTATCGCATGTACTGTTATCTGAGTAACCCGACAGCTGTTCCCGAACAGGTGTTTTCGAACAGGGTTAGGGTTAAGGTTAGGGTTAACCTTAACCCTAACATACCTCACACCTGTTCGGGAACACCTGTCGGGCTACTTGGATACTGCCCTCTTTTATGGTATATATAAATATATACCATTTTTTCTTCACCCGTTAATCAATTTGAATCAAATTACAATATACATGGTCATTGGAAATTTGAAGGTTACTACTTCTCAGGTGGTTCGTTTCATCTATAACATAGAAGACAGAACCACGGACTTGGTTCCCTTCTATAAGAAGGCCCACGTACTCCCTATAGACCAGCGAATCTTCTTTAAAGTTTGTCTATTAACACACAAATCAGTTCACGGTACTGCACCTGGTTACGTCAAAGTATTACTGGATGTGGATGTAGTGGATACAGAATTCTCAAACACCGTGACCATGTCGAAGAGACCGGATGACCATCTCATGCTCAAGATACCAAAGAATAAAAAGTCCAAAGTTGATGACAGACGTTTCTCAAGCCATGATACGCCGGTAAAATCTCTAAAAAGTGTATTTCTAGAGCAAAACGCGCAGTTTTGCTAGTGCCTTCAAACGACTTTGCGCCCCCCCCCCCCCCCCCCCTAAGATGCCCCCCCCCCCCCCCCCTCCCTGCACAGCGGGGTCAGCGGGGCCCTTCGTTACGCCACTGAATGTATTGTATGGTTTCTGCTTCTATTTAGTTTGAGGGTGATTGCACATTTTTTGAGCAATCACCCTCAAACTTTCAGGATATGTTCTTAGGATCAGTAAGAAGAGAACTCTAGAGCCAGAATTTTGAGATAGGCCTTTAAAGATTTTTAATTCGATTTTGAAATTCTTGGACCTTAATTTTTAGAGGTCCAAGAATTTCAAAATCGGATTAAAAATCTTTAAAGGCCTATCTCAAAATTCTGGCTCTAGAGTTCTCTTCTTACTGATCCAAAGAACATATCCTGAAAGTTTGAGGGTGATTGCTCAAACAATGTAGGAGAAGATAGATTTTTAGACTCGATTTTCAGAACGCGCGATTGAAAATCGCTCGCGCAATACAATTACACATAAGCGCTGACCTTTGACCAGCGATAATTTCGGCTAGGAACAATATTTTTCCATGGGACCAAAAGCAGCTGATAGATATCACTCCCCTCTATCAGAAACAACTATAAAGTCGATTTCGAGAGAATTTTGATGAAGACCCCCCCCCCCCGGCCCCCTTAAGCCCTTTAAAGCTTTAAATCAAAGTTGTCTAAGTTAAAGTATAAATTGACTCACAGGGATGCCTTCTTTCTGTATTGTTTCGACGGATGTCTTTAAGCCATTGTACATGGAGTTGAAATAGGATCCCAAGTTGTTGGTTGCACTGGTAACCTTCTCCTTGTTCACTGTCTCACCTGTGTAAAGAAAAATTTGAAACATTCATAACAAGAACAATTCCGTCTCGAATGAAATCTGCACGATCAATAATCATGTTACCTATTTTTTCTCCAAGTTTATTGTAATCAAACTGCTGGGCAGATTGTTGTAGGGTCTGAGCAGACTGTTGAGCAGACTGTTGTAGAGTCTGAGCGGACTGTTTGAGCTTGTTAGTGTAACTAGCAGTGTAGTCCCACCATGAGCTGACAGGTTCTGGTGCCGGGACTGGTTCTGGGACTGGTTCAGTGGTTGGGGTGTCCTCCTTGGTGTCCTCCGAGGCCACAGGTTCAGAGCTCACTACATCATTAGTCTCCTCAATTCCACCTTCTGTGGATACTTCTGATACTGAAATGAAATAGTTTGTAATATAAGACACAGGAGTAATCCCGTAATTTCTAAGAATTTTTGATCTTGCTTTATACCTTAAATATAATTTGTTTTCTTTTTATATTCGGGACTGATTAAATGGCATCTACAAGAGTGAAATGATACATATCTTCTAATTTATTATTGTTATTTTTACCAGTATTTTATTTTAGAGAGACAATGGAGTCGATACAAAATATTCTACAAAAACACGGTCACGAAATGACTACGGAGAACTCCAGCGACGAGAATGACCCTGAAAACGGGAAGCTCCCAGATTTCAAGGATGTTGAATTTTGTCGCTTCTGTAGACTACCAGGCACCTGTCTGACAGGCTCATCTAAACTTATGGAACCGTGTCATTGTTTGAACAGACATTTCAAAATGACGCACATGTCTTGCCTCATCCGATCGATTCACAAAAATCTGACAAAAGAATGTCCTAGGTGTGGTGTCACCTATGATTGCATCCACAATGTCACCCCATTACGTGAATGGACAACCAACCCCGACACAGACAGGATGATGAGCCGATATTGCAGTGCGATCCTTGTGGCAATTATTATCGGACTCCTCGACATTTTCGTCATCTGGATGGTATGGCTGACCACGCTGCCAACTCTATTGAGAATATGTGTCATTATTATTTTGTTTGCAATGTATGCAGCCGGTTATATAGCTGCTTATTCAAGATGTGTCATGCTATATCGTGAGATGTATATCTACAACTGCCCAGTTGTTGATGTTCAACCCAAGCCAAAGCCACAGAGCACAGCGCAGTTGATGGCCAATCATTTTATGAAATTTCAGCTGAATGTTTTTGTTCCGGGAGCTGTAGAAACTGTTTAAAGCTACTACACGAGTATGATTTCAAATCGCACATTTCGTTCTTGTACGATGTCAATTTCTTGGGCTACATCGCTATAATTAACGCTCTAGACAATAACGTCCATTCTAGGTTACTCCTCCGTACTTTCTTTCTTTACATGAGCACTCTAGTGCACAAAAGAGCTACTTTGAAAATTGCGATTGCTATTCATTAAATTAAAGAGATAATTCATACTACAATACATCTAATAAAACTGGCAGCCAGCGCCACTAAGTCGCTGCGATATTGCTGCTTCACCAAAACTAATATCTGTTCACAATTCACAGTAGTTGTGCCATCAGTCGTGGTGTTATTTTCTTCTTTTGATAGACGTGCGTCTAAGATTTATGAGTGATGACTGCCAGGAATATGGGTGAGACGATCTGACGTCGACAAATCTGCATCTTTCACGGACCATGACATTCCGAATTTTTAGACAATGTTGCAATGCGGTCTTTATGAGCCAAGTTATGGCAATTATAATTGGAATCATGGACGGTTTCGTCATCTATATGGTCTGGTCGACAACATTGCCCATCGGATTGAGATTAACTATCATGATTCTTCTGTTTGGAATGTATCTAGCTATCACAGCAGGCATGATAGTAGGCATGATAACAACGTATTCAAGATGTGCCATGCTAGACCGTGATTTGTATACCTTTAATCATTCTGTTGACGATAGTATCCCCCAAAAGCCGGAGAAGAAGAGCACAGAAAGGTCGGAAGCCCTTCCCTGACTATTTTCAGTTCAAGAAACTTCCATCTTTGTGAATCTTATAATCTATGTATTGGAGCTCAAGAATCTAATAAGCTGCATTATTGAACTTACCTTAACTTTGAGGACAAGATGATGGATTTTTAGCTATAATTAGTGTTTAGTTTATATTTCCAATAAGTTGGCAGAGGCAACATACCATATAGGTGTGGTAATATTTTCCAAATACATAGTGCGATCCTGCACCTGCCTAGTGCCTAAACACTAAAACTTTTTATGTGCAGCAAATTTGGAGACAAAAACACCGCAATTGAGCTGAACAATTCGCCAAATTTGCAGTCTTTAGGTACTCTCAGGTTGCCTAGCGCGATTGTTTTGTTTAACACGACAACTAACTTGTAGGGTGTCTTACGTAATGACTAATGTCCTACGGCTGAATTTTCTGGCAATTCTTTTGTGTAAACCTAGAAGGTTTGACGATTAGATGGGCAGGAATCAGGATGGCTGGGATTCTAACACATTGTGTCAGGGACAAAAGGATTTCGCGATTATTTTGGCCAAATTTCGCGATACCGCGAAATTTAACAGGCTATACATTAAACTATACATAAAATTTGTCGCGGAGAATGGGAAATTTCGCGATTTCGTACATACCGCGAAATCCTTTTGTCCCTGCATTGTGTGTATAACAGACTAATATGACTCAATTTCAATCTGTTGGGGGATCGCTAATCGGCTTGACGATTTATTCATTATCCAATATTCACTTTCAATTGTTTCTTAATCTTATATCGATAGCATTGAAAGTCAATTATGCATTATTATATTAACTTGCTATCCTGATAATAATGATAATCAACTTTCTGTATAATATGTTTTAAAAGCCAATTTTCTACTTTCCGCTTTTTTAATGTTAAATCATGAAAAACGCTTGATCTTAACCATAGTTTAAGTTACGGGCATGTCGATTATATCTCATTGTAGACAGCGATACCAATTATACAAATCTGATAGAACGAATAACGGCCCGGCCGATGGTGCAAAAATTTGCGATATTAGGTCAATAGTGCGATTCTGCACCCACCGGCCACCACACTTATGTGTTGCCTTTGTAAGCTATATTATATATAATACAAGCTTAAAGGACACATTTTTTAGGTAATGAGCACTTGGAGTCTTCGATTTTATTAAATTATTAAGAATATTTTTAAATGAATTAAGTTCAAATTTTATCTCGAATGACTACCGATTCAAAATTAAATGGTTTATGTTACTTACAAAGTCCCGATTAGTCCAGCGGTTCTAATCAAAGTAAATAAATATAACGTCAAGAAACATTTAAATGGTGTAAAGATGGGGAGTTCTGGAAACATATTATATATATGATGTATTATATCCTCTAGTAGAGACATCATATTCGTGAGTTCTCACGACATGACATGATCCAACGCCGATATTTTGGTAATAATTAAAGTTATCCCAGCTATATGCAGTTGAATATCTCAAGCGCGTTTTAATTTGGAGAATGTTTAAATTTGGGGAATTTTTGCCTTGTTTGGGAATGTTTTTATTTGGGGAATATTGAATGATTTCAACACCTCAACCGAAGTTCTTCAGTTGAAGTGATGAAATCATCATTTTCTAAAACAACCACGTGGTCTTTGCTTTTGTCAAAGCGAATTAAGAAAATAATAGGGTATTGAAAAAAATTCTATTATGCCGAACAGACCACAAATCCGATGGTCATGTGATAAAGATACCTGATGTATGTTAAAAGAAAAGTAATGTCATTAGCCGAATTGGCGGATAATGACTAGATCATTAATCCGTTGTTTAATTTCAGATCTATTCAGCTAGATCTATTTCTTCTTTCTCGAACAGTAATGTTGTGCACAAAGCAAAAGAATGTGCTGCTATTCATTTACGGGATTAAAACGAGATAGTCTGAGATAACCTTTGGTTGTGGTTTACGTTTGTTCAATTTTTGCAGGTTTTGCGCTTATAGTAGAAACTACTGCTGGAGCATGGATATCAATGTGGGAAGATTTGCAGCCAAGAAATGGGGCGGTCTCAAGGAAATTGAAAACTGCCGTTTTTGTGGACAATCTGGCATATTTCTCGGAAAGATTTTGAAACAAGGAAGTGGTAGTTTGATGACAAGTACGACCCACAAAGTGATGAAATCATCTGGCTCAAACATATTGATAGAGCCTTGTTACTGTTTGAGAAGACAGTGTAGATTCGCACACATGGTATGTCTGATCAAGTGGATTCGCCACTATCTGACTATCGTATGTCCTGATTGCCACACTACCTTCAATGTCATCCACAGGATAACCCCCGTACGAGAGTGGAGAACTCACCCCTCCACAGATAGGATGACCTGCCAGTATTTGATGGCCATCCTCATGTCACTTTTAATCGGAGGTCTGGATGGGTTCGTCATGTATTTGGTCTGGCTGACAATGCTGCCCGTTGCGTTAAGAGTATCAGTGATGATTCTCTTGTTCGCAATGTATATAACAGGTCTGATAGCTTTTTATTCAAGATGTGTCTTACTGTATGATAAGATGTATCTCTACAACTGTCCAATTGTTGATGTCCTCCCCCAAGAGCCAGAGAAGCCTATAGTGGAGAAGATGAATAAGTTTTTGGCGGCCCTTCCCTGACTTTCGGTTGGAGCGAGTTGTATTGGAACTCATCCATATATTGAAAGAAACTTATCAGCAGTAATGAAACCTACGTCCTTGGCAAACTGATGAATTTTTACTTGTAATGGTCATAAATGACAATTCTATTATCTATGGTTATTAAGGGGACATACACCAAAAGCTTTTATGCCCTGGCCCTGCTGTTAACGTCATATTAAGAAAGTATACATCAAAACAATAAGATTTGATACATTAGTTTGCGGAAGAAAACATCATCTGAGGATAACCATTAACCAGCACAATAAGACTTCGATTATATGTTTGGAAATGTGTTTATCTTAAATCGTTTATCCTAAATCTTTAAAAGATGTATTTAAAGTATATAATAAAGCTAGGATCCTTGGAATATGTGTTTTATATTAATACAATCTCCGTTTTCATTTAGACCTAATATATTACTTCTCACTGAGTCGACTCCAGAAAATAAATATTAATGGTTTATGATACTTGCCAAGTTTCATTAGCCCTTTAGACTCAGTTCTAATAAAATTAGTGGTGGCATCCTCTTTCATTCAAGGCTTATAAGTAACGTCTAGACACTGTTATGGTCTACTGAAGATGAATGGAATTCTGGAAACATATGATTGGTATATAATAAGAAGTTGTTTCAGATCATTGATAAATTATGTCAGCTATTGTAGTCGGCAATTAATGTTAATTGTCAGAACATAGAGAGAAAAAT